GCAGCCAAAACACTAATTGATCCTTGTGCTCTGCCTCTGAGCAGAGAGCAGGTGACAATCCAGCTCCCTTTCACAGAGGGGAAACTGAGGCAGGGCAGTTAACAGACAGGTCAATGCCCTTTCAGCATCATGAGCGCTGTGGGCTGGCCGTGGCTTTGCTTTCCCCTCGCTGGTGTTGCTGAAGGCTTTCATCGCTCCAGTGCCCACAGGAGCCGAGCTGCTGGGGAGCCTGTGGTGCCCACCCTGCCCTGCAAAACCCCCAGCGCGCCCCGGGGCTTGGGGAGCTGCAGGACAAGCTGCAAACCCTGTCCTAAACCTAAACCTAAACCCCGACCAGCCCCAGGCTCCTGTACAGACCTTCTGGTAGCGCATGTCTGCGCAGAAAAGCCTGGGGAAGCAAACAGATTCCGGCCTCTGCTCTGAAGGTAAATTTTTACCAGTCAAACACTTTCCCTCCCACCTCCCCATCCCTCCCTCTCTTACTGAGGAGCCAAGGGGCAGGATCCCTCTGAAACAGGGGTACCAGGAACAAGGGTTCCCACGCTGCACTCGGGGGAAGGCAGAGATCCCACGATCCCTCTGGGAGACAGGAATATGTTGCACAGTGTGGGGGGGCTGCAGCTGAGGGTCTCTGCCAGGACAGCCCTACCCGTCTTCAAATACTCTGGCTTTTCTTTGGGAAAGAGACAAATTTCCTTTCATTACACTGCCCGAGACTTCACGGCTCAGGAGGACGCCTTCGGAGTGCAATACAAAAAAGAAAATAAAGACACGCTGTAAGTGCTGCTGCTGGCCCCGCCGGACACCCGCGCCGCGCTCGGGTCTCCTAAAGACCAGAGCATCCCCCACCATCCCCGGGCTGCCGCAGGAACCCCACCATCCGGGGGATGGGGACCATCCGCGCTGCGTAAAGCAGCCGGCCGTTCCAGAGGCCCCGGGGAGCAGCTGAAGAGCTGGGCCGTGGTAACGGAAACAGTAGCTTATGGTTTGCCTTTGTAAAGTTGTTAGTGTGTGTTAACGGAAGCCCTGGCCTAGCAGGAGGTGGCTGCAAAATCTTACGGCATCTTGCCCTATGTACCGTACGTCAGGGCCACGTAGAAAAGAGGTTCCAGTAGAAGAAATGGAAGACATGGGGAAAGGTTTTCTTTGTTTCTGTACACAGAGTCTTGCTGGGAATCCATGGCTTCGTTCTCATAAATAACAGGTCCTTAGTACATGTCCTTGTAGATCTCCTGCAGAAGTGGGTGCAGAGATGTCTCCGTCTCTGTCTTCTTGATCTTCTGCACCAGCTGCGCGTGCTCCGTCACCAGCTGCCGCAGGTCAGCCATCTTCTGCAGCAGCTTGGGGAAGAGGTACTGGGCGTCCGGGTGGTTGGACTGCAGGTGGAACTCCAGCGCTCGCAGGATGTTGTCTTGGATCTCCTCCACCTGCTTCACGTTCATCAGGCCAGGACGGTCTGTGGAGAGGAAGCAGGGGAGCTGGAGTGTTATGGTGTAGCCCTCCAAAACACATGCCCTTCTTGGGGAAAGGGAGACGGGGACTGTAACCAACCCACCGTGACTCCAACCTTGTCAACTAGATAAAGGGAGAAATATGCCCTTGGATATCATATCCCACAGCAGCATATGAGAAGGAGATGCCACTTCTACACTCCTTGCTCTTGGCCCAGGCTTGCTAGGTGTCACTGCCATCAAGAAGCTTTGGTTTTGGAACCACTCAGTTCTTCTCTCACCCCCCTACGACAGCCCTGGCTGATGTCAGGGTCAGCTGCAGCTCAGCCCCCCCAGCCCAGCCCCAACCACCTCTAAGTACAGGAGGACCCTTCCCAACACTCGCACGGCCGAGAGCGCTCGCTCACCTCCGCACAGGATAATGGCAGCCACAAACAGAGCCAGGTCACTGTCATCCAGCTCCAGCGCATTGAATTTCACAGCAAACTCGAATTTGGGCTCCATGATCTCATTGAAAGGCTTGCGCAGGCTACGCAGCCAGCCCCAACCACCTCTAAGTACAGGAGGACCCTTCCCAACACTCGCACGGCCGAGAGCGCTCGCTCACCTCCGCACAGGATAATGGCAGCCACAAACAGAGCCAGGTCACTGTCATCCAGCTCCAGCGCATTGAATTTCACAGCAAACTCGAATTTGGGCTCCATGATCTCATTGAAAGGCTTGCGCAGGCTACGCAGGACCTCGCGGGTCACGAAGCCGTTCCCGTTGGCCACCAACAGCCCATCCTTGTTCATGATAGAGGCCAGCATGGCAAAGATGGCCTCGTGCACCCCGTACTTCAGCAGAGTCACTTGGTCGTTCAAGTAGAGGCCCATAAAGCTGGGGATGCTCTTGGCGAACTCCGTGAGCTCCCGCACAGTCTCCACCGTGGTGCACTGGCAGCGGGAGGAGG